AAAAAAAAAAGGACCCTAGAAATTCTTTGTCTAGTCTCCCCTCCTTTTACTGGTGAGGAAACCAGGCCCCTAGTGAAATGCACACATTTCCCTCTTCCTGTCTTCAATTGTGAATACTGGATTTCACAAGGAAATTGAGCCACGCCTTTCCACTGTCTACTTCTTTTATATCTACTTCTTTTATATCCCATCCCTAGTACTTAACTAAATACAATATTCCATACACAACATGTATGAACTAAGTTTTGATTCTTAGATTTTTTAAATGCCACAGATAAAACAGAAAAGAAAAGAAACATATGTAGAGTATTGGAAACAGAGACCATAATTCCTTTTTACAACCATTTGCTGTCTAGTCTATATAATATACATTGCTCTACCTCATTGTTGTTGTTTTTTTGTGTGTGACTTCCAATGGAAAAACAGGTAAAAGTGCTTTGAAAAATATAAAATCTATGAAAACATAAGGTGTTATACTTGTATTAACTACATCATCCTTTTATGATCTTAAAAGCTATTTTTAAAATCAATTTTCTTAGTTAAGCTTGGAACCAGATTATGGTATCTGTAAAAACAAAGTAATAAAAACAAGTCACACCCTTAATAGCTACATTAATGATTTAAAGGCTGAAGAATTTCCTCCTTTAAGACATCTGACCAATATAAACAAAGAGCTATAAAAACTGACATCTAAAGATATTTTATCATATTTATTTACTTCCAATAAACTATAAACAACAGGACATATGTCTAAAAGAATAAAATAAGATCAACAGAAGTCAACAATCTCTTTAGGAATAATGTATAAAATCCCAGAAATTTTATACATTTTGTAATACTCCAATGAATGGAGGGAATATACTTCTGACACTTCATTGTTAGAAACGTTGTGACCATATATAGCAGAACTATAAGAAAGCACCAAGACACATCAGACCTATGGAAGGTAGAAAGGGAGAATTCTCAAGAGAAATTATTAGTGCCTGCTAACCCAAACAACATCATACAAAATAGGAAAAATGAACTATGGGAATCTTGAGGTACCGAAAGAGGATCCAGTTGGGAGGGGGCAGCTGCCAATTGTCCAGGCAAAGTCGCCTTGAGAAAATCAACACTGAAATAACATCCAACTCCAAGACACCCTAGAACCACTTTACTCTCGAGTCGCTGGGACTCATGTAGACAGTACACAGAACTTTTCTAGACTCATCTTCTCTGTTATCACCCTTTGCTGAAATTTCATGGGGAAAAAAATTTTTTTTTTTTTTTAAACTTTAAAATAACTGGGACACAATTCCTCATTCTTTTAGTTCATTGACCTGAACACAGACCTCAATCACTGTGTTTACTCAGCATTTACCCTGTCATCTTCCACTACTTCCCTCTCTATTCTTCCATCAACTGAAGAAGAGTGAGAAGAAAGAGTAAGCTGGGGAGGGGAAAACTCCGGTGGGTGGAAAAGCCAAGTTGGAAATAATGGAAGAATTTCATAATCACTCTGCATCCAACTCATCTCTGGGGAGCCATGATTAAAGAGTTACCTGTTCTGCTTATCTCTGGAATTAATATCTGCTCCTCTATCTATCAACATTTGGCATATTGTTGGCCGACACATCTGAGTAGCCAGGACAAGAGGTGTCCGCCCATCCTAAACAACGAGAAAAATAAGAGAGCGTTAACACAAGTCTCCCCCAACATGATTGCTAGAATACACAAAATACACAAAAACTGACTTACTCCATCTTTGGCATTCACAGAGGCCCCATGGTCACACAGCAGCTGAATGCTAGAAGGACAGTCTGCCATCGCTTTGGAGAACAAAGAAACACGATGAAACACATGGTGCTTGCTAGATCCACATAAGGCAGCAGTCCTTGAATTTCTAAACTACCAAACCTCACATTCTTCCCTCTCAGTTTAATACTGCAAACATGAATTTTCTATCTGAAAGTGGGTTAAATGACATCATTTTTTAAATTTTGTGTCATTTACTGGGGCAAAGGAATACTGTCAGCCTTGCAGAAGCCAAAAACGTACTACTATGCTAAGAATCAGTATCAATAATAGAAATCAAATTAGAATTTTCTATTTACCATTTATTTTTAAGCATAGTTATTAACTGACTTGATCTTTGCAATGCTAAGCTTTGTTCCTAAAGCATCATATTTATTTGTCTTATAAAACAGCCAGAGTCGATAAAATTTGACACACAATTCATATCTCTTCTCTTTAAGACAGGCTACAATATCTGCCCCGAGGGATGCAAAGGAGGAATCATCTGCCTAAAAATTATCTTAAAATCACACTATGCTTCTTCTCTGGCCAACACGAGAGTTCATATTTATATTGTTGCTGTTCATATTTATATTGTTAAGTGCTGTCGAGTCAGTTCTGACCCATAGCAACCTCATATGGAGTTTCCAAGGAGTACTGGTGGATTTGAACTGTCAACCTTGTGGTTCATTGTTGTTGTTGTTATGTGTTGTGGAGTCGGTTCTGACTCATAGCGACCCCATACAGGGTTTCCAAGGCTGTAAATCTTTATGGGAACAGACTGCCTCATCTTTCTCCTGCGGCACAGCTCGTAGTTTCGAACTGCTGACCCTGAGGTTAGCAGGCCGACTCATAACCACTACGCTACCAGAGCTCCTTTTGTGGTTCATAGTCCAGAGCTTATCCAGCAGTGTTTGTACAGATGAAGTATATTTTTAATAAAGACCACTTCGTGTACTGCAGAGAAAGTCCACGCACATGAAGGAGAGAATCGTTTCTGGGTTTTCTTTCCTTTGGCCTTCTACGCAAATTGTAGGAATTTCAGATTTAGAAAAGTCAGTCAAGAGGTCAGGCTTGCTTACATTCCCAAAACACTGAAGTATTTAAATTTTTGCATGATATTTTCTTTAAGGCACCTGAAGAATAATACAGATAAATTTAAATATACAAGTATGGTCAAGAAACTCTATGAAATAATATAAATGTTTCAGGACAGAGCACATTATAGTACTACAAAATTCAGCACCAACACCTCAAATCAAAACCACATTAATTACATTATATTAATTATATGTTAGGACTACCAGTGTGCTGGTGTAGGCTCCGCACTGGACTTCCTCCCACAGGGCAGCAGGTCAAACCCATCATTTGCTCCTCAGAAACTCTATACAAACTCTGTACGGAGTCGACTTGATGGCACTTAACAACAACAAAAACAGCAGGCACTACATGGGGAGTACTGGATTGAGAAACACAAGGCCCACCAGCTGCTCTGTGGGAGAAAAATGAGGCTTTCTGCTCCCACAAAGATTTCTAAACCTTGGACACCTACACAGGGTTGCTATGAGTCAGAACCGAGTCGACAACACTGAACAACCTAAGACACTACACGGAATGTAAGAGTGCAGTGGCTCTGTAATGAGTACGATACTGTAAACACCAAGGTTGGTGGTTTGAACTCACCAGCTGCTCTGCAGGAGAAAGATGAGGTTTTCTGCTACCACAAAAATGTACACCCTCAGAAACCCTATACAGGGTCACTATGAGTTAGAACCGATTTGACAGCACTTAACAATAACAACACAGAATTTAATTACAACCATCTATTGCAAGTAGTGTTGTATCATTAACATCAGTTTATAGATGAAAGAAACGAGGTTCAGACACATTATTAATTAGGTAAACGTAGTTTTGCCCACCAGTTACCACCGTAAATACGCACGCAGTAGCAGATTTCCTTGAATGTAGAATGATGGTTTATTCACCTTTGAACCTTCAGTACCTAGCAAACGGACTGTGCTATAAACATTGATAAAACTCTTTACGATGCGCAACCTTATCAATTTCAATTCTGAGTAAATAAAATTACTTACTACATCTTTGTTTCTTCATGAATTAAACAAATATAAACATGTTAAAACTCTGAAATTAAGTTAAATGTCTAGCCATTTTAACAGATTTTGTTTGCATCCAACTGAACACTTTGCTTACCTGCATCATGAAGTGCAGTTCGTCCTTGGAGGTCTGTGTGTTCAGTGGGACAATTGTACTGTAAAAACATAGGAACTTAGTAAGACAGAAGAGTTTTCTTTTAAAATTAATTATCTATACTGAAATGAACAGCTGTTCTTTAATCTTAAAATATTCCATTTATCAAAGAAATGGAAGAGTACTAGACAATCCACTAAATATTTTGACATGGAACAAATATAGTAACATTGCACCGCAAATTTAACAGTATTTCAACAAACAGGAAACCATATGTTACATTACAATAGCATGAGATATCAAAAATATGTTATTGTTTGTTTTGTTTTCAGCAAGAGTTCAAACCTGCACTACTGAATCAGAAAAACATATGAGTTCTGCTGTGTGCTTTAATGCAGAAATGTTCATGGTCATGTCCGATTGCAGCCTTTAACTGAAAAACTCACTCAGCCAGTTAGCTCATGGAACTGTGTAGCTGCCTGAGTAAATATTTAACTAATGATTTTAATACTATGTAGTCTGTTATCTGTGTTTACATAGAAAAATATGAATCCTATGTTGTAGTATTTTATCTTATATCATATATGAGACAACAGCAAATTCTAGTCTCCGGCTCATGTCAACAGGAAGGTCAAGTCTTTGTTATTTATTTTTAATACTTCGAGTTATGCAATTCACTTCCTCCGGAATTTTGCTCTTTATTGTTCACATTCCTTCATAAATGATGGAAAAAATATTATGTGTAAGCAAGTGGCCAAAATGAGCCCGCCATATTATTTGATTTCACATCCCAGACACACATTAAAAATACATCTATTACTAAAATGTAAAAAATAGAGTCAAAGTAATAATTGCTAAATTGTTAAAAACAAAACAAAACAAAAAAAACTACCTGTAGAAGCTTTTGCAGACACAATGCATGTCCATATTTTGCAGCCAGATGAAGAGCATTTCTTCCTAAGAGAGTAATAAGTAATTTAGGATCCGTTTGAAGTACTGTTTTTCTCATAATGTAAACAAAGAAATAAGATTCTTTTCCCATAATTAAGTTGACAGGATTATTTATTTGTGAGCATTTTAGTTTTAGTTTCTAAGATGCCTTACATTTCCATTGATTTCTCAAAAAAATAGATAGTATACACATCAAAACAATGATGTTGGAAAGAAAAACTAAACATGCAAAGCCCTGAAGAGCAGGGTCTTTCTTTTCCATCACCACTTGATCTCCTTGGCACAGATGAGTGTCTGGTGCAGAGCATGCACTTCAGTAAGGGGAGAAGGCCTGGTGCAACACTATAGAATAATCAGTGGTCACTTGAAACCAAAGGTTGGTGGTTCAAACCCACCGGCTGCTCATCAGGAACTGACAATGACACTTAACAGCAACAGCAATAGAAAGGGGAGAGTGAGAAAAAGGAGAAAGTAAAGAAAAAGAGAAGGGAGAAAGGGAGAAAAAGGAGGGAGAGAAGTATCTAGATTTTACTAAATAATGGCAATATCCAAATGGGCAGCGTGGACACAAAAAGTGGTGAAAGGTAATAGTCACACTTCAAAGACAGGATATTTTCTAACAATTATTTATGCTTCATGTAAAATCCACAGTTCATGAAGACATTTGTGCCTTTGCAAATGACCTCTTCAAAAACAGTGTAAATGAAAATGAACAAACTAAAGTAAGAGGTTATCAAATAACCTGAAGGGTTAGCTTTGAGTACTTGAAAAGGTCAACTTGCAGAGAACATTCTACTTCCAAACATTGTTTCTCCCAATCACATTTCTTTGCACATACATCTCTCATGGATGGTGAAAGATGTAAGAGTTTCCAATCTTTAATGTTCTTAATTTCCTATAATCTCACAAACTTCTTGAAACATAACTTTACAAGTAGATCTTTCTGCTAGACAAGAAGCAACAAGTTATGTGTCCTATTCACCTTATAAGTTAACTCTCACTAAATCTTACATGAGTTTAAGTAAGTGGACAGATCAGTTTTCCCAGGTCTGTTTCTGTGCTGCTACCTAAATAGGTTCTGGAACAAAAATCAGGGGAAATCCAGGTTTTTGAATAGGTACAGATAACAATATATTCAACCACACCTATACATCCTCTAATTACAAACATGGAAGATTTGATCACTTCAAATTTCAATTTGTAACTGTTCATGAAGTTTTCTAGAAACATTTCACACTGTAAAAGGTGGCTAGAGTAACAGGTATTTGCATGGGAAGTTAAGAGCATGGAATGGGCATTGTGGAGTGACACACGGTGGTAACTCTCCCTGGTATTCAGTGAAACCCCCCCAGAAACTGAGTCCCATAGAAATGTCAGGTCAGGACCAAGGACATACTAACCACCCCAGAAGTGGCAGCTAGAAATCAAGGGCAGATCAGATGGAAAGCATGTCAACATGAAAGACACCCAAAGTGGATGTCTGCTCACAGATACTCAAAACGGCACTGACTTGAAATCTACTCATTTTAAATATGCTTTTAACAAATAAAGTACACTGTTTAAGAACAGTGTTAGCAAATAAAGGAGGCAAGGTAAAGTCACTTTTTGATCAACTATCTCCATCTGGAGTATATCAGGCATTACCACAAAAGAGACAAGGTCTTTTCCCTCACGAAGGACAGCTCTAAGGTCAAATATAAAACAGAAAATTGTCTAAAAATATAACAGCATAATGGCAAGAAGAAAAGACGCAAATAACAAAACAAGACAGTTAAGCAGGGTGTGTGGGGCTGTAGGATAGGAAGTGCTATCTGCTGAGCTTGGGACAGTATTTGAGTCTGATCTGCTCTGATGGAGAGAGCACAAACCTCATTAGATTAGCCTCTAGGCAACAAAATGTCCACAGCAGAAAGAGACTTGTTTCAATCTGAATCAGCACAATCAACAAATGAAACATTATCAATCAACAAAAGCAACTTCTAGTAAGTAAACCAGGCTTGATTGATTGATTGCGCTGATTCCACCTACAAATAGTACCAACAATGCTACCTAATTCTTCTTTTTGGTTACATGAAGGGAGCTTCAAAAAGTATGTGGAAAAATGGAAATAAAAGATAATGAAATTTTTACATGAACTTTTTGAAGGATCTTCATAGATTTGTATAAACTGATTGAAGCTTCATGGAAACAGATATAATTGAACAAGTTCCTAATAGGGCAAGTCAAGTCTATACAAGAAAACTGTCAAGCAGTGGAGATGCAAGTTAAAATATCTCATTATTTCTTAAATCATTCAACACTTTATTAATCAACAAAATTTACAAAATATATTATGTACAATGGAGTCCTGGTGTGGCGCTGTGGATTAATGCGCCAGACTGCAAAGCTGTGTGAACTGCAAAGTCGGTGGTTAAAGCTCACCAGTCACTCCTCGGAAACCCTATACAGGGTCGCTATGGTCGGAACAGACTCGATGGCACTTAACAACAACAACAACAACGTTATGTACAATAAAAGCTCTGAAGAGGTATGATCAGTAAAAAAATTCTAAAAATAAATATCCTCCTACCTGAATAGAATACATAAGTATAAACACATTTGTAAGTCCATTCAGACCATTCAAAGGTGGCACACAGATTGACTTTGGTCTTCAATTTAGAATTTGATGTGTCTTTAAAGACTTTCCTCACTAACTTAACTAAATCTTAATCTCTTCTTCCATTTCTAAACACAGTGGTCCTTAACAGCATGATCTGATGGAAACCATGACATGGGTCATGGGAGAAAATAGAAGAGCTGTTAAGAAAATTCTCCTTTACAGCTTAATCCTATGTTTAATTGAATAACAAAAAAGAAGTGCAAAAAAATTGTTGGCAAAAATACCAGAGAACTAAGAATGACCATTGTAATGACTAGAACCCTAAGACACACATTAAAGAGAAGCAATTTGCTGTTGTTAAGTGTCATCGAGTCAGTTCTGACTCATAGCAGCCCTGTGTATAGGGTTTCCAAGGAGCGACTGGTGGGTTTGAACCACTACTCCTGCAGTCTTAATTGACCTTGCAGTCCAATGCTTATCCTACAGCACCACACCAGGACTCCATGAGAACTAATAGCTATATTTAAATGTATAAAGATCTATGTGGTGATGTGCAAACACACTTACACTGTAATGCCTTAAGTGGCAGACACAGGTAGAACTAAGTGCAGGCAGAAGACCAGGGGATACACAGATTTCAGTTGTTTCCAAGAATAATTTTTATTATCATACCTCTAGCTAACCAAACACACACTGGGTCTCCCTTTGAGACATAATGGTTAAGCACAGACTCTGAGTTCTATTTATTTAATAAAAGACCTTGGACAAGTTATCTCATGGCTCTGTGCCTCAGAGCCTCGTTGGGTTTACATGAGAATAAAATAGATTACACTCTGTGAGCTAGTTTTGTCATTCTCAGGACTGCTACTGTTGCAAAGAGGCAGTTAGTTCCCCTTCACAAGAAATGCACAACCAATGGCATCATGATTGTGAAGATTCTTATACTGAGTTGTATGGACATTTCAACTAAGTGGCCCCTAATGTTTCTTCCAAATCTGAGACTTTAAGATTCTGTCCTGGTACTGTGGGTTACTGTGCTAGACTGCAAAGCCATCTGAACTTACAGTTGGCAATTCAAGCTCACCAGCTGCTCCTCAGAAACCCTATATAGGGTCACTATGGGTCGGAACCAACTTGACGGCACTTCACAACAACAATACCGTTACCAAGACCAGCACTAGACTTCAAGTCTCCTCTTTCTGCCTGGGTCAGTCCAGTAACCCTTTCTCCTAAATGCCCTATAACATAACCACCCCTCACCATGACACTGAGAAGCAAAATTTTCTCAGCTATTTAAAAGTTAAAGATTAAGGAATTTTCTTTTTCAATCACACTGAGGTCTGTTTAAGAACATCAACCTACTCACAGTGACCCCGCAGGAGAGAGCAGTGTTTCAGAAGTTGTACGTCTTTACGGAGGCAGAATGCCAATACATCTTTCTCCCACAGAGCACTGGTGGGTTTGAACTGCCAACGTGCCAATGCTTAAGATGAAGAACATCAGTACTGGAAGAGATGTATGTTGGGTAACTGAAAACAGAGGGAACGTACCAGCAGTGTCACTAGCTGTAATATCAACTCCATGGAGAAGGATGGCATTCAAACACTCAAGATTTCCCTTTGAGGCCACAACATGGAAGCTAAACAAAAAGTAAATATTTGTTATTTCATGGAAACCACCAAAGGTCAACTTAAATGCTACATCAATCTTACTCTTTAAGCAATATACATATGCATATATGCACACATGTGTTTCAAAGGCTAGATTAGAACATCTATATGTTTAACACAAGCAAAAATAAACCTATTCCATATTACTTAAAACTAATGTTAATATACATTTATATACGGAGCCAATACTCCATTGTTATTATTGTGAGGTGTCGCTGAGTCAGCTCCAATTCATGGTGACCCTATCTATGTAGAGCAAAACCAAGCAGTGTCCGACCCTGCACCAGCCTCACAGCTGTTGTTATGTGGAGCCCATGGCTGCTGCCACCATGGCAATCCAACTCATTGCTCTTGTATGCAGACCCTCCACTTTATCAAGCATAATTTCTTTTCCATGTCCCTCCTGATAAAATGTCCGAAGTACAGGAGACACCTCCTTAGAACTTCCTTAATACCAAAAAATATTCTATGCTCAACAGCCTTAATTTTAGAACATTGATACTATTATAATATTGCTAATAACGTCGATTTAAAACAAACCCAAAAACTGGTGTTTGGGGCTTACAAAACACTTTAAAGAAACATCAGATGTTTTGATTCGCTGAAAATATAAACCGCCCAAACAAGTTACAGCAGAATGGTGAAACCACAGAATGATTAAAACACCTTTCCCTTCTCTTTAGAAATATCAAGCTAAAGCTGACAGGGAAAAGCCTTCAGATCAAACAAGTCAAGCGACACCTGAAAGGCATAAAAAAAGTGCACCTTCTTCCTTCCCAAACAGTTCCAGTTGCCCCTGAGTTCTTCCTTTTGCATACAGACCTGTATGACTGATATTGCATGCAAACATGTGTAACCAAACAAGTTCCCTCAGAAAGCGAGTCAAGAAACTTTAAACCATCACACTTTTCAGACTCCAGATCAAATAGCCCACGCTATTAATCAAAAAACATCTATAGTTTGTAATTACTGCAATGAAACGATGAGTATAAAACCGATGTTCTCCCATGTAAACTATCACTCAATTCACAATAAAAACTTTAAAAAAAAAAAAGTAGTTTTTTTTTAAGTTTTTATTGTGTAGGCTTCAGAAAGATCATGGAAAACTGGAATGAACAGATACTGGAATTGTTCCACCAACTTTCTGACATCTCCTCGTTTATTGTGCGCAACAGAAGAAGAGACACTAAATCCAAACTGGGGTTCAGTAGGATTTGCTGGTAAACTGGGGTTCAAAGAGACTGGAAGTCCTAAACAAAAAAAGACCACTGACTACTCTAAAGGTGCCAGGAGCTAAAGGATATGAACATGCTCAACATCTGCATCCCACATCGCATCAGTGAGGGTCTTCCCTCATTTAAAAACTATACGCCCCTGTAAATGTTACCACTCTCAGCAACCCATCCCTGCCTGTGGAGAATAGTATGTTTGAAAATGTTGGTTTCAGACAAAATAACAGTTTCACTCTAATTTCTTTATAGCCTATCAGTCTCTTCCCACTAACTGTAAGCTCAACAGAAGCATGAATCCCTGCCTGTTTTGTTTCTTAGTCAATCTCCAATGCCAGTTAACAGTGCCAGGGGGATGGCAGTGCCCCAAGTATCTAAACAAACGTCTGAAGAGGAGACAAAAGTCTGAAGAGAGCTTGCAAATTCATTTGCAGATAAGACAACACTCAGTCATACGACTCTCTTATCATGAGGGAAGATATAGATGCAAACTGGAGACCAAAGCACAGCTATGTAATGCAGGCATGGTGTTCAATGTGATTTAGAGAAAAAGAAGTATTTCTGGTAAGAGGAATATACCAAGAGTCAGGTAAATTCTCATTTTAGCAGAATAATTCAACTGTCATATGGCTGGGGTGAGTATCATTGAACCTCTCTGCAACACAAAAATAGGAAATTATACTCTGCAAGGAACCAATAGAACATTGAGAAATGTTAATTTCCATGAAGCAGAGAGACTTAGTTTCTCAATAAGCTGGGAGGTATCATTTTTGCTTTGTTTTAATTTCTGAGCTCATGATATTTAGAAGACCTCTTTCTTCACAACAGATCCACATTATGTGATGATGTCTAAGGGCAGAAATCACAGCACGTTGACAACGCATTATTAATACTGGTGTACTATGAACAGCACATACTCCTCAGAAAAAGTTACAGCAATCACTTAAATGTAGAGAAAGGAAACTTAAAAACTGCTTTATAGGAAACTCCTTTGAAATGAAAAAAAAAATCAATTTAATAGAGCCATTTTTAAGAGTTCAGATACACGAGTAGGCTTTTTTTTTTTTTTTTAAAAAAAGTAAGACATGGCCTCCCACTTCCATAATGGGAGATCCAGGAAATATGGATAAACCTTGCCTCTAAGGACAACTAGAAAAGCTACAGAAAATATAAACATCTGCTTGAAAGTATCAGTGAGCTAACAAGACAGCGGAAATCACGAGGCTAGGGTACAGTAAAAGACATAAGTGCAGGGAAGTGACCTGGTACTTGAGACCACTTTCCTCTGGAAGCACAGTTATTTCCCCAAGACCAACTAGGAGACTGAGCGGCACACTTTGACAGCTCTGAGGGGTGGGAGACAGGAACTGGAGTGTATGGCTCTCCAAGTGGCAGTGGGGACCCTTGGTAAACTTGCCCCATCTGGGGTCGGGACCCTATAGGGCTACACCTTAGGAGAGGGACAGACAGGAAGAAAAGACCCACTTGACATCACTGCTAAACTTCAAATATTTCAGTTCTTGAAATGACACTGAGGCCAAGATGCATAAATTATTTCTGTCTTAAATTAACCTTTCTTTCCCCCTAAAACAAAATTCTAAACCATATTGCTTTTTTCATTACATATAGTACATAGAATATATTTGTAGCATGTCCATTATACAAAATACTTTCATTAAGGAATTCTAGGAAATAATTTTACTTCCTACAGTGAAAACCTCAAACACTAATATTACTGAAATATTTTTCCAAACTAAAGTTCAATGTTCATAACATTACAGTAAACTTTTATTATAATTTTGACCATTAATGTAAACAATTGCACACAAAACTGAATCTTAGATTTAAAAAACTGACACACATTGATTTAAAATATCCAAACTCGGGATCAGTAAAACAAAACAGAAGGTTTCACTTTAGAGTTTCAGATAAAAGAAAAGAGCGTTCCTTAGCATTTAATAACCTAGAGTTTGGAAAGGAAATAAATAAAACTAAAAAAAAAACTAATCAGAAAAGTCACTAATAGATATTAAATTACCACTATTTACACTGTGAGCTTAATATTTAGTAAAAAATAGAAGACAGGACTCAGAATAATCAGTGTTTTGGTAGCTATCAAATTGCCTACTTGATAAAATTATACCACTATAAACTTGATACATTCCAAACTTTATTGCTTCTAAAAACTCCTTAATTTATGGTCATGCTTTGCTATCTTTCCAGCATTCCAAGGTAGAGACTCACATCAAACATTAACTGTTCATCTCCTAGCACTCATTTCTATATTTAGTAATCTGGTTTCCAGTTATAATATCCTAAATGAACTCATGTAAGTATGAAATTGAGAGGAATTCAGGAAATAAAAACTTTCCACTTCTAACTTTGGAAAATTTCCCAAATAAGATTTTGTTGTTTTGTTTTGAACATTTTATTATGCTTTAGGTGAAAGTTAACAAAGCAAATTAGTTTACCATTCAACAGTTCATACGAAAGTTGTTCCATGACGTTGGCCGCAGTCCCCAAAATGTGTCAGCACTCTCCCGTTTCGACCCTGGGTTCTCGGCTTCCATGATTAGTCCCCATGCTCCTTCCTGCCTTTGCATCTTCATGTTCAGACAAACACTTCTCCCCTTGGTCTCCTACAGTTGAGTGTTCTAAGGAGCACATTCCTCATGGGTGTTATTATCTACTTTTGGGGACTATTATTTGACTAGAAGATGATCTCAAGAAGTGACTTCAGTTCCAAGTTAGAAAGGTGTCTTAAGGATATAGTCTGGGGGTTCCTTGGACTCAGGCAGGCAAGTCTGGTCTTATTTGTGGATCTGAATTTCGTTTGACATTTTTCTCCCACTCTAACCAGGACCTTCTGTTGTATTCTTGGTCACGGCAGTCAGCAGTGGTGTCCAGGCATCGTCTAGTTCCTCAGGTCTCAGACTAGTGAAGGCTGTGGTTCACTGGACAACACATTAGTCCCATGGACTAACTACTCCTTTGATCTGGTTTTCTTCACCCTCCTTTGCTCCAGACAGGAAGAGACTAATGGTTGTAGCTTAGATGGGTGCTCACAAGCCTTTAAGAGCACAGATGCTACTCATTTCAGCAGGCTATAGAACATTAGCTAAGGAACTATGCTATGCCGATTGACCTAGCTACACTCTAAACCCACGGTCATTAGCCTTCACACCCAGTAGGTACACTAGTCCCAGAGGTGTTTGGTAATGTCTCAAAAAGCTTCCATAGCTGTGCCCCATTTGCTTTATTATCTATATGAATATACCTGCAGTACATACAATTATATATTTATTTAGAAATAGCCACATCTTTACTTGTCTATGCATAGGGGTGTACTCTCATACAACCTTCCTCATCTGTTTAGAATATGAGGGGACTTGAAAAGCTTCATGGAAATTTTTCATTGTTTAGTTCAATTTTTCCACACACTTTCTGAAGTCACCTCATACATATCTGGGAGTTCTGATGGCACTGCATGATATGCACAGGACTTCGAACCAAACAGGTCAGCAGTTCAAACCCAGCAGCCACTCCAAGGGAGAAAGATAAAGCTTTCTGCTCCCATAAAGAGTTACAGCTCCAGAAACCCTAGACAGGGTCGCTATCAGTAAAACCTGACTTAACGGCACCTAACGGCAATGCACATACCTCCTGATTCATAGTGATCCTACATAGGATTTCCGAGGAGCAGATGATGAATTCGAACTGCTAACCTTGCAGTTCAAATGGACTTTCTGGTCCAGTGCATTATCCCACAGCAGCACAGCAGGACTCCACCTAGTTTTACACCCACTCAGCAATGGTTACTGCCGTGCTGTCTGTTTGTGTATGCTAGACATGGCACGGCTGCCTTGCATTCTGGCGGTCCTCTCATTGTCTGCCTTTGCCTTGGTAACATTGTGCTGACTTCTCACGTTGTACACTGCCTTTCCTGTCACCAAAATTAATACATCTAACTTGTTAGTGATTCTGCCTCCCTTATCCTACCATCCTTGGTAATTACCAAAGAATATTTATTTCTGTGTATTATATCTTTTCTTGATTTTTTTTTTTATAATAGTGGTTTCAAACAGTATTTGTCCTTTTATGACTGACTTGTAGTTCGCTCATCATAATGTCTTCCAAATTCACCCATGTTATAAGATGTTGCATGGTTTCATTTTTATTTTGTATCATTGCGTAATATTCTATTATATATAGATAATCATAGTTTGTTTAGCCATTCATCTACTGATGGACACTCAGGTTGTTCCCATCCTTTTGTTATTGTGAATGATTCTGCAAGCAACATAGATGTGCATATATCTATTCATGTCCATTCATGTACGTAGGAATGGAATTGCTGAACCATATTTCTAGCCTTTTAAAGATGGGGCATATGGATTTGAGTCCTGGTGTGGCACTGTAGAATAAGCACTGGACAGCTAACCACAAGGTCTGCAGTTCAATCCCACCAACCACTCATTGGAAACCCAATACGGGGTTCACTATGAGTCAGAATCAACTCAATGGCACTTAACAAAACAATACTGTTTCCCATAGTGGTTGTACCAGTTTACATTCCCACGAACAGTGTATGAGAGTCCCAATCTCCCCACAAGCTCGCCAGCATTTATTATTTTGATCAGTGCCATTCCTGCCCGGGTGAGATGGTATCTTGCTACAGTTTTCACAATGTTAAGTCTTCACATTCACAAGCACGGTATGTTTTTCCATTTATGTAGGTCTCTCTTGACTTCCTGCAGTAGTGTCTTCTATTTTTCTTTGTGTTAAGTCAGCCTTTGATGCCCCTTGTTAGATTCAGTCTTAAAAATGTTATCCTTTGTAGGGGTTATTGTAAATGGCATTATTCTCCTGATTTCCTTTTAGGAGTTTTGTTTTTATAAAGGAATCCAACTGATTTTTGTGTTGATCTTGATCCTTCCCAGATAAGACTTTTAACTGGTAGAGTTAATGGGGGGTCATAATAGAATGAAGGAGGCTTTCCGCTCCCGTAAAGATTTACAGACTCGGAAACCCTGTACAGGGTCGCTATGAGTCGGAACCGACTCCACGGCACATAACCACCACAATCCAACAGTTCTCTATCCTCAACGGGATGTCATGAAGATCTGAGAGGGGTGGGAGAGAAATCAATCGTATGCTTCATAAGCACATACACCAGTCAGGAATCCTCCTCAGGAACACAGAAATAAGGCAGTGGGCTCACGCCTGAGTCTCTTTAAGGCACACCAGTTAACTCTGTGGGGTGGGTGGCAAAGAAAGTGTCATTTACATACTTCAAAGTCAGAAAGTTTGGGCACACCTCTTAGTTCAGGGAATTAACATGAGATACCGAACTATTTAATCTTTATAAACCTTTCCCTACTTCTTTTATGGGCTGCTGCAAGGGTTAAACATGATTAAGAATATGAAAAGAAAACAAACCAAAAAAACTACAAATATATCAAGGGCTACTGTTTGTCATGGCACTTAAACAACCAGACTGGGTAGCACTCTAGTATTCTCTCTAGATTGGCAATTTTTCAAACGGACACTTAGTCTATGATGTTTAAAAGATCTCTGGAAATTATTATACTGCTGGTTTGGGTAAAGACTTTTTAAATTAAAAAGCTGGTAACCACAACTAACAAATTTCATTTGTATCCTAAGGGTCTACCCAAATTACCTTAAGATTTGCTTTTGTCATCAGTCATACTTACGCAGATCTGCCTTCGACATCTAGTTTGCCTGGATTGACCCCTTTCTTAGTAAGGATTGAGGACACTTTTTCGACATCCCCCCGTTCTGCTGCTTTCATCAAGCGGTCATCATATTTACTCCAATCTGCTACATGCTGCAAAAAAGGAAAACATGGCATACTGGATGAGTAAGACTTGAGAAGAAAAGGGAAAACAGTCCTTCCTGCACACCACACCAAACACTTGTTTTCCAGTGGTATCTAACTGTCCTTCTCCCAGGTGTGCTGCCTTGACTAGAATGGCACAGTTATAAAAACCTTTCCAAAGCAGTTATAAGACCTTACAAGAAACATTTTTAATCCTACTTTTAAGAAAAATCATCTTTCTCACGTTCTCTGCACACATAGATTGAAAATAACAAATAATCATTTATACACACATTCAACAGACTTCAGGGCAAAGAAAGAAAATTAAAAATTGTTGACCACCTACCGCATGATTGGCAAAAATTACTCAAACAACCCTAGAAAACTAAAACTATTATCCCCAATTAAAACTGAAAGAAATCAAGGCCACTAGATGTCTTAAAGTGGCCCAAACATTACTTCTCCAGTTTCCTTATCAGTGTGCTATTCATATTCCCTATGCATGCTCTCAGACTTGGCTCTGATATGTATTTCCCTAGACCCTTACTGCAGGGGAATTCTGTAGACATTTTTTAAAGTCTCTCCTTTTTTATTTAAAAAGTATTGATAGGAATATGAGGGTCAGTCAAAAGGTATTGCTACAAAACCACAGACATCTTTATTCAACAAAAATATCAAAATGAGCAGCTACTGTTTCTTGATACCATCTCCAATGAGGTCTATCTACTTCTGAAGGCAGTGTTTCCATCTCTCTAAACCTTCCCCCACAAAGAATTTTGCACTCTTCGATTTGCACGTCAAAACAACTGTTTTGACATCATGGAAGGACTCATTCATGTTCCATTTAAATGGATGTTGAGTTTTAGGAACAAAAATCAGTCTAAAAGGGCAAGAGCAGATCTATAGGGTAGGTCAGGTAAGGTTTCCCAATGAACTTCTCATTAGGAAGACCTTGCTCCGCTGGAAGAATTAGCAGGTTCATTGTTGTGATGTAAAAAAATTCCCCAGTCTAACTTTCTAGGCCTTTTTCTCACCAATACACATTCCAATTTTCTTACAACATTTTCATAAAAAGTTCCTGTGATTGTCCTGTATCCTTTGAGAAAATCAATCAAGATTATCCCTTGTTGTGTTGTTGTTGTTGAATGCTATCAAGTCGATCTGACTCATAGTGTCCCTGTATAGGATTTCCGAGGAGCAGCTGGCGAGTTTGAACCGCCGACCTCGCAGTTCAAACTGATCTTACAGTCCTGTACATTATCCGGCAGCACCACACCAGGACTCCCCTGGAGTCCCAAAGTACTGAGTGTATTTTTATTGAAGAACTGAGTATGTATTACTAGGAGAACTTGTCTGCAGCCATTCACTGATTGCAGTTGTTGATAAGTGCCATCGAGTCAGTCCGGACTCACAGTGACCCTGTATAGGGTTTCTGAGGAGTAGCTGGTGAGTTTGAACTGCCGACCTTGCAGTTCAAAGCAACCATGTGGTTGAGTGCTTACCAAACTATAGCGCCACACAGAGACAAGCTTAAATACATTTTGTTTGGCATTAATCCAGGCACTGATGAGCCGGAGCCCTACTAGCAATACTTGCTAACTTACCCTCACATACTTGAGAAGGCAAAATCATTTTATTTTTATCTCTTTATAAGTAAGGTCCTGGTGTGGCATTGTGTGGTAAGCACTGGACTGCAAGTTCTGTTTGAACCACAAAATCGATGGTTCAAATTCACCAGCCACTATAGTCTAACATTGTTGTTGTTGTTGTTGTTAAGTGCTGTCGAGTCAATTCTGACCCACAGTGACCCTGTACAGGGTTTCCAAGGAGCAGCTGTTGAGCTTGAACCACTGACCTTGCAGTTCAAATGACTTTGCAGGCTGACTCATTAGCCCACAATGCCACAACTGCTTTCTCTGTTGACCCAATATGTTGTTCTTGCTGTTGTTAAGTGCCATCAAGTTGATTCCAATATATTAGAATGGAGTCCTGGTGTGGTACTGTGGGTAATGTACCAGACGGCAAAGGTCGGCGGTTCAAGTTCACCAGCTGTTCCTCTGAGACCCTATATAGGGTCATATGGGTTGGAATCAACTTGACAGCACTTAACAACAACAACAACATATATTAGAATTAAAAGAACTACACTATACATAGGAAAAACTAAAAAGACTTTTAAAAGTATTAGCTAAAATAATAAGATTACAGGTGACTCATTTACTCATTTCATTTTTTTTAGACTCAACACGTAGGAGGGGCGTCAAAAAGTTTGTGGTAAAAATCCATTATCTTTCTATTCCAATTTTCCATGAACTTTATGAAGCTTCTTCATATTGCTTTTATAAAATAAAAAATTTTACTTTTAACAAAAACTCAATGAACATACATTTAAAAGATCAAGAGTAGTGTCTTTTCTTTTGTTTTTACATGTAGCATACAATATATAGTTTAATTGTATCAAGGTACTTGTTAACGTTGGAAAAAATATATTCAAGACATTCTCAAGACAATTATACTGCTGTTGTTGTTAAGTGCCATGGCATCAACTCATAGGGTTTCCAAGGAGTGGCTGGTGACTTTGACCTGCTGACTTTGTGGTTCAAACCAACTTTGAAGTCCAGTGCATTAACCCACAGCACTACACCAGGACTCTTAGTAAATGGAAATGTTAAAACAGAACTAAAACCCACACATTTTAACAGGTAAAGTTCTAACCTTTTCAAATAGTATGCCAACTTACTGCTAAATTCTAAGCTAACTCCAGTATTATTTCTGGAACAAAAAAGATGTCCGTGCTTTTCTTAGTTTACAAAGCAAATCTTATGTCCACATATACCATAACAAATCTCTGTAGGGAAAAAAAAAAATCTCTTAACACAAGCATACCCTGTAATTGCTTGATAAATGATTATTTTATATATCTTTTCAGGCTCCTGGTGTGGTGTTGTTGGGTAAGCACTGAACTGCTAACCACAAGATCAGTAATTCAAACCCACCAGTCACTCTTCAGAAACCTTACACAGGTCATTATGAATTGGAATCAACTCCAACTCCGTAGCACTTAACAACAATCCTCCCCAAACATCAGAAAAGTCATCACCACCAATATTCTTGGTAAATAATCAATGTAGTCACTAAATATGTGAAGTGAAAAATTAATATGAAAAATGATAGTACATTAAAATTATAACTCTCTCCTGACATTCACTATTTTAATGAAGTCTATTTCAAATACATATACAAACTTCAGAATTGGTGTCTCTAAATTTTAAATTTGTGGTTGAAGCCACTTCCTCCTAAATTTAAAAGAGTTCAAACTGCAACACTGAGTTGAAAGTAACCCTATTTATTAGCTCAAATTCAAATTACATTTTAGATTTCACCTTTCTTTAGCCTCAAAACAAAACAGTTTTGTGGTTCTCAACTGGAGAGGGGTAGTGGATGTAGGCTTTAGAGGCATTGTGTTTTCAAATGCCTAAGGGATTAAGTCATGTTTAGCACACAAATACGTGCCCTAAATTGATTAGTTTATCCTTGCAAATAAAGCAATCTTAACCTCAGTACCAAAGTAAACGTACTGGTAGAAAAAGAAGGTACACCTTTAAGCACTAAAAAGTTGTGAAATCCAAAACCGGGGCTTTTTCAGAGATAACTAAGCACCGTTTTCTATTCTATTCCTCCCAGCACTGCTTTCAGAAAGGTCTGCCACATTGTCAGTTAACAGTAATACTGTCCGGTTATTAAGAGTTTATGTTATGCTTTTTAAGCCAACTTCTGTTTTCACAAACCACTAATCAACTAAATCACAAACAAAATCAATCAATCAAAGACACCAAAAGCTTGTTTTAAAAAAACTAGTGGTACAGTATAAAAGAATACAGTTGAAAAAGCCTAGCTGAAGAGTCATTTGTTATACTAGACTACAGGGATACCTACTCTGTTTTTAGAAGCACAAGAAAGCCAACACTTCATCATAGACAGTTTCTTGTTGCTAACAGCAAACTGCTTCGCATTAAATTACAAATCTCTGTAGTTTACAAAGCCTAACCTCAGACAATCTCCTAACAAGTGACTCAGTTCCTCTTGCTACCACTTTTCCTATTCTACAGTCCTCATGCTGGGCTACACTTAGCTTGGATCTCTAATATGATCTTCATCTTCAGGATCCTTCTCCGCCTTCATAACGCTCGAAAATTCTCGTCCTTGCAGTGCAGTATTTGATGAAAAGCAGCTGCAGGTCAGGTATGGTGACGCCTCCTATTTCTTATTCTTCAGAAGCCGTCCCTCTCGGGAACTCCACGGGAAGACGTGGCCAGCACTCTGCATCCTGCTGTCTCTCTGCAGCACAGATGCTGTTGTGCATGATAAAACTGCCCACAACCTACTCATCCGCAAGCACTGTGCACACGGCCTCCCATTGGTCGAGTTCTATTTTAGATTCCATAGGACTTGACAGCTGAGTGACAGAAAGGCACAGCTAAGAATATATTGTAAATGCATGCTTTCCCTCTGAGTAATAAATTTCAGGTCTAGTGGGGACAAATGATTTAAGCATATTGTCAAAACATGCTTATTATATCAAAACAACTTGCCTGCCATAGTGGCAAATTTGCAAGAGACAAATTTGGTTATTCCACAAAGTAATATTTAAAGCCAGTTTCTGTTTTAGTATCATCTATCATGAAGTTATAATAGCCTTGACAAACAACATCAAAGTCTATTTTAGGCCGCTGTGTCACACTCTGATTTAAGGAGAACACATACACAGTTACATTTTCAGATTTTCTCCCTTTTCTCTCCAGCTCCTATCAGTCTCGTTCTGCATACGACCAGGTTTCAGCTTACCACTGCTGCCAGTTTGTCTCCGAAAATGCTAACCGAGAAGAGCCAGCGGCACTGCCAAGACATTACATAGGCTGCATCATGAGAAATACGTTTCAACAAATCTTAAATTTAACTCAGTACTCTTCATTTCTAAGTTTAGCACCCTGCCTGAGAGATGAATAAATATTTTATCAGTGGAAAGTCAAATATGTGAATTCAGTAGATTAAAAAAGCAAATAAACTGACGAAGTACTAAAGGAGGGGAATGAGCATTACACACTGAGCTAAACAATAAATAAAACCCAATTTAGGGGCAGAGCACACAAATTCTCCTCATTCGCTGTGATAGTTAACAGACTTGTACCAACATTCCTCAGATTATCAAGATCTGTAACGAACATTCAGAAGCTCCAGGGTTTGTTTTTTTTTTTTGCCATGTTCTAGTTACCACAATGGAAGCCTGGTATGGGCATTGCAGGATAAGCACTGGACTGCTAACCACCAAGTTGGAGGTTCAAACCCACTAGCTGCTTCTTGGAAATCCTATACAAGGTTGCTAAGAGTTGCAACTGACTAGAAGACACTTAACAAACAACAACAAAAACCATTACCATAATGGCATGAGAGTACTTTACACTTCTTCCAAAAAGATTTGCAGAGATTTTTTCATGGAAATGCAAAACACTCTAACACAAGTATTCACAGGAAGAAGGTAACTGCTATTCTTCATCTCAGGCTGCCAGTTAAAATTTTTCTATTGTTGTTAAGTGTCTGTGGTGTTGATTCTGGCCCATAGTGACCCTGTACAGGGTTTCCAAGGAGCAACTGGTGAGCTTGGACCACCGACCTTGCAGTTCAAATGACTTTGCAGTCTGATGCATTAGCCCACAGCACCACACCAGGACTCCTAACTTCAATTAGAAATCCATTTCCTACTATTCATGTTTTAAATAGCAGGTCCATATAATACATGTTGTTGTTGTTGTTAAGTGCCTTCCAGTTGATTTCAACCCATAGTGACCCTGTATAGGGTTTCCAAGGAGTAGCTGATGAGCTTGAACTGCTGACCTTGTAGTTCAAATAAGGCATATATGTACAAAATGCACTGTTTTGGAAACAATTACTTTTCCCCAAAAACCACATTAGATATCACAATGGAGTAATCGGACAGAACCCATAGAATCTACCGGTAGTCACTGGATTATCAACATATGAATTGCAATCCACAGTTATCAACCTATTATATTTTAAAATCTGAGGTACATTAAATGGCTTGTAATAACAATGTGATGGGACTTTGCATGCATCAATACATTATTATTATTACTACTGCATTATTATGTTAAAGATGTTTTAATATTATCTGTATGTGTTTCATTGATGTTTTAAGCATAGAAAGGTACACTATATACTATGACAAACATCTGACTAACTGGCATTAGATATGAACTGTGCTTAACTGTTCAACTTGCATACATATTCATTTTAAAGAAAGACTTAGTGTTGAATTGAATTCATTCATATTCCAGGAATTGTCTGTATGTGGGAAATACTATTCTTCAGGGGAAACCTGGGACAGAACTAAGACTCCATTCTTGGTTAACAATGCAAACATTCTTTCTATAAATAGCATACCAAAGCAAAATATATTAAAAAGGGGGAAAACCTGTAACAAGTCATTAAAAGCCATAAAAGGAACTGTCTGGCTAGCACAGTGGCTCTGTAGGATAAGCACTAGACTGTGGACCACAAAGTCAGGGTTCAAGCCTACTAGTTACTCCATAGGAGAAACAAGGCTTGCTGCTCCTGCAAAGATTTAGAGCCTCGGAAACCACATACAGGGTTGCTTTGATGCAGAACCTGCTTGAAGGCCCTTAACAACAAGGACGAGAATGAATGACAAGGAGCAGTGGATGCTAAGGCTCAGGAGACAGGGCTTGTGCATCTTAGCACACTATGGATGCCCTGAGCCATCCACCTCCCCTACCTCACTGACTTAATCTCATGCCTCTCCAAAGCCCCAAATTCTCACCTTTGTTGTTTCCTGGGCCTGGAATGTTCTTCCCTCACATTTATTCAGGCTCTTCTCCAATGTCACGTCCTTAGAAAGGGCATCTCAGACTACTCATTTCTCCCACTCTTTATCCCATGCCCTGTTGATCCCTTCTCCACAGTGCTCTCAAGGTCATCATTATATGGATGTTTGCCTCTTCATTAGCTTGCTGTCTGTCCTTGCCAATCTTTGACTTTGACTAGCTATCTAAAGTAAAACTGATTTTTAAACACGTAACTGGATTTTTAATAGTTAGGGCTATAGGATAAGTCCCGGTGAGGCGCTGAAGGATAAGCATTGGACTGCCAACTGGAAGGTCAGTGGTTCAAACCCACCACCCACTCCTAGAAACCTATGCAGGGTCGCTATGAGTCAGAATTGACTCAACAGCACATAACAACAACAGGATAAGCACTGGACTGCTAACCACAAATTCAGTGGTTCAAATGCACCAACCGCTCCTCAGAAAACCTATACAGGGTTGCTATGAGTTAGAACCAACTCAACAGCAAAAAAATAATCCAAAGCAGCTTTTTTGCATACTTTTTCTCACAGACTAAATTGTTACCTAGGTCATATCTGGAACACCCAGTTACTAGCAACATTGTCTCCCTGTAACTACATATCAGACAACAAATATCTATTAAAAGGAGTCCATGAGTGGCAGGAAGGGAGGGAGGCATTTGATTGCAACAGAACCTACTCCCTATAGTGAACAGAATATCCTTTTTTAAATATATGGATTTTTTTAGTGTGAGTATATATACGGAGTCCTACTGTGGCACTGTGGGGTAATGCGCTAGACTGCAAAGTCATTTGAACTGCAAGGTCAGTGGTTCAAGTTCACCAGCTGCTCCTTGGAAACCCTACAGAGGGTGGCTATAGGTCAGACTGACTCGATGGCACTTAACAACATTTGAATATATATAAAACAAAAAAATTGCCACATCAACATTTTTACCTGAACAATGCAACAATGCTAATTACCTTAATCACGTTTTTCAGTCATAATAAAACATCCTCCTGGACACTGGCTCCTATATATCCACACCTCAAAATCTTCCTACACCGCTCTACAAACCCCACTGGCCTATCAGAAAGCAACATAAATAGTTATTAAAGAAAGTGTTTTAAAATCAGGCAAACCTGGGGTCAAATTCCACCTCTGCCATCTAGTGATACTGGTTATTTGCCGTGGAGTCCATTCTGAACCATAGTGACCCTGTACTGGGTTTTCGAGGCTATAAATTATTATGGGAGCAGAAAGCCTCATCTTTCTCCCGTGGAATGGCTGGTAGCTTTGAACTGCTGACCTCGAGGTAGCATTCCGACTCGTAACCACTATGCTATCAGAGCTGCTTTAGCTATTATACCAGTGGGTGAATTTACTAATACTTCCTAAGCCTTAGGTCCCTTATCTCTAAAGCAAATATAATAATTCAGAAATATTGGAGTTCTGGTGTGGTGCTATAGAATAAGCACTGAACTGCTAACCTCAAAGGTCAGGGGTTCAAACCCACCAGCCACTCGTTGGAAACCCTATGCAGGGTTCACTCTGAGTTGGAAGTGACTTGAAGGCACTTAACAACAACATCTGTGTAGAATCAAATAGCTAATGCATGTGAATGAAGAGCTCAGCATTATGCCTGCTACACATTAAGTCTTCAAAAATGCACAAGTGTCCTAGTCAGAGATAATAATTACAGAAAATTCTTTGAAGAAGTAATAAAAAAAAATAAAAAGATTCAAGCATGCAGCCCCACCTTTCCTATATTAACCCTGAGTCAGAATCAGCTTAATGGCAATCAGTTTGGGTTCAGGGTGACCAATTAGGCAATGCAGGACTCACTTTATAAAGCTAATAAACCATCTGGACTGGAAGGCACTTAACAACAACAATGACGAATATTGACGCAGTGGTCAGTGGTTACAGTGCTCAGACTCTAATCAAAAGATCAGCATTTCTAAGGCAGCCGCTCTGCAGGAGAACCATGCGGCACCAGGGCAGTCCTACCCTGTCCTATAGGGTCACAGTGAGTGGGAATCAACTCAACAGTAATGGTTTATACTAAGAACCCTGGTGGCACAAATGGTTAAGCACTTGATGGCTAGCCAAGAGGTTGACAGTTTGAACCTACCCAATAGCTCTGTGGGGAAAAAGCGGGGGATCTACCTGCTTCACCAAAGATAGCTGTTGTTTACCATCGAGTCAACTTGACTTACAGCAACCTCACAGGGCAGAGTAAACTGCCCAATAGGGTTTTCTAGTCTACATGCTTTACAGACACAAAACTCCAGGTCTTTTCTCCCATGGCATCAATGGGTGGATTTGAACAGCCAGTCCTTTAGGTACTAGCTGAATGCTTGACCACTGTATCATCAGGGCTGCTATAGAGATGACAGCAGAGGAAACCCCATGTAACAATTCACATAGGGGTTGCTCTGAGTTGAAATCAACTCAAGAGCATCTAACCACTACATCAGTGAATGGATCTAAGCAATTGTCATCAGTGATACTTGGTGGTGATGGTGTGCTGTGGAGTCGGTGCCAACTCACAGCGACCATGCGGTGGATTTACAAGGCTGTAAATCTTTATGGGGGCAGAAGGCCTCATCTTTCTCCCATGGAACCACTGGTAGTTTCAAACTTGCGGTTGACAGCCCAACTTGTAACCACTATGCTACCATAGCTCCTTCAGTGACTACTAACATCACAGAAAGACAACCATACACTATGCACCTCTGGAATGTCAGCTCCTTCACCACCTGTCAAGTGGCCTAAACACACTGAAAACTAAAAGTCCAACCAAACCCTGAAGCTAACAATTTACAAGAAATGCAAAGGGGGTCAGGGGAACATTTCACAAGTATGGCGAGAACTCCAGCATGGCGAGAACTCTTATGGGTCTCTAACAAAAATGACAAGAAAATAAAAAGGGCAGTGAATCACAAATCACAAGTGACTTCAGAAATTTATCAGTCAATCACACTTTGAAAAAATAATAATAATGGGGAACATGTGAATAGTGACTGGATATTTAATATTAAGTAATTAAGCTAAGGTTTTAAGTGTGAAAAGTTGCATTTTATCTTTTTAAAGAACCTTTTAAAGATGCATACTGAAATATTTTATATGAAAGATAAGATTTTTTATATTTACTTCAAAATAATATAAAAAATCAGAGGGACACAAACATAGACAAAACAAGATTGGTCATAAGTTGATGACTACTATAGGTGACTAACAAGCACATAGATAGGAGTTCACGATATTAACTACTCTTTTATTGAAATTAAACTTTTTATTGTGAGTGAGTGAAGGTTTACAGAGCAGATCATAGTTTTACATTAAATAAATCATACACTCTGTTTCATTTCAATGATTACAATCCCTTCAAGGTAACATCAGTTATCCCATTCCCCCCGCCCCCATTTGTTTCCATTCCACTTTCTTTCCCAAATTTTGTCCTTATGTAAATATTGACCTTTCAGTCTTGAATAGTTGACTGTTTCTTAGTGTGCCTACCTTACTAGTGTTCTTGTCTCCCATATATACTCATTTACTGCTTGGCTGAAAATAAGTTCAGTCTCTCTCAGACCTGAAGGATGAACAAGGGCTAGTCTTGGATCCCCCCAGTCTCTCTGACCAGTAAGCCTGCTCTTTTTATAATTTGGAGTTTTGTCCACATTTTATGCCAGTCTATCCAGGATCTTCTAATGTGATCCCTTTCAGAACAGTTGGTGGTGGCAGCTGGACACCATCTAGTTCTTCTGGTCACAGGGCAATGGACACTTATGGTTACAGGTTCCATTAGTCCACTGGACTAACTGAGTCCAAGGATCTTCAATTTTCATCACTCTTTTATCCACCACACAGGGAAAGACCAACTTAGACGGCTGCTCATGAGCTTTTATGATCCCAGTGTTGTTGTTGTTAAGTGACACTGAGTAGGTTCCGACCCATAGAGACCCTGTATAAGGTTTCCGAGGAGCAGCTGGTGAGCTTGAACTGCCGACCCTGTGTTTCAAACAGACCCTGCTGTCCAGCACATTAACCCACAACACCACACCAGGGCTCCAAAATCTCAGTAGCTTCTCACAAAAGCAGGATGTAGACCGTTGTCTCTGTGGACTGTTAACCAACTGACCATGGCGTCCCCCCAGACTACGGTCCTAAATCCCAAGGCCCAGCAACTCATTCCCTCAAGGTGTTTAGTAATGTCTACGAAGTTTTCATAATTTTGTTCCCTTAAACTATTCTCTTCACGTCTATGTGTTTCAGATTTTGTCAATATAGAGTCAACCAAGCTCACTCCCATCGAGTGGAGTCTGGCTCACAGAAACCCCAGAGAACAGAGTAGAACAGTTCCTAGAGTCTGGAGGCTCTCTATGTCTTTATGGAAGGCGGCTGCCTCGCCTTTCTTTCATGGAATAGCTGGTGGGTTTGAATCACTGATTTTTCTGTTAGCAGTCTGTTGCTTAACCCACTGAACTTCCAGGGTTCTATCTGTTGATATAGGATCCCACAAATCTGGATAATGTATTAACTTTGAAACTGTACTACATTCTTTTTTATTTGGTGGTTTGAGAGCAACATTATTCATTTATTTAGACAGCAAGACAGCCTTGTCGTTTACATACTGTTTTTAGAATAAGTCTTGAAGAACTGCCAGGATATTGACAATAACTTATTTATTCAATAAACAAAAAAAGCTTATTGAGCATTTATGTACAAAGGTATATAAACATTTAATCACTCAACATCCACATTTGTATGATTACCTAATTATGTGCCAGACCCCATGTGGGTGCTAGATACACTATGGGAAACCAAACAGACATGAGTTCTGGCCTTGGGCAGTTCACAGGACTAAAACCCACTCTCTTCAACTGATCTCACAGTATAATAAGGAACACAGATAGGTATGCAAACATATACATTACCATCAAAACATTTTATAACAATGCCGTAATTGCTACCTGTAAAATAAAGAGGTCGTTCAAAACAGGAGGGGGACTTTTTTTTTATAGAACAGTCATCTACTAGAAGATGGGTAGATCATCAGATTGGAAAGAGCATCACAAAATACAAAACCACAATTTGTAGCCCTCCCTAGTTTAAAAATTACTTAATATACATGATATATCAATTAAAATCTCTATACGAATGACTCACACACACAGATCAGCAACTGAAGTTTATATAAACTCTAGGCCCATGTTTCCAAATAACCTTAACAATTCTTCATGAGTGTCTTAAAAGTACCTCAGTGCCCCAAACCACCTTCTTCCTCCTGAAACTTGATCGTATTTCAAGTTTCACCAACACAGCAGATGATACACTCACTGGTCCATGAGTTGTGCAAGACAGAAACCGATCTTGACACTTTCCTCTCCTTGGTCCCTCTTTACCAAAGCCTGCTGAACTCACATCCATTACTCAAATCCGCCCACTCCACCATGACTCCACTTCAACTTCCCGCCCTCCCTCACTAGGATGAGCACATTCATCTAATGGTTCTGTCCACGCATTTCACTTGTGCTCGAGTGTCACTGCCTAAACACAACCCTAATCAGACCCCAGTCCTTTCACATACTTCAGAAATCTCACAGAAAAAAGTGCAGTCCTCAAATAATACCAGTGAAAATAACAAATTAAGGAAATCCAAATTCCACCCTTTCTTGAAAGGAATGAAGAAATAGACAAAAAAATATTAGAGTCAATTGTTTTGGAACTCTGAAAATTAACCAAAGGCTTCCAAAAACCCAGGGAACATCTACTCAAGAAAAACAGCTGACTCTCAGTAGGAGTAGTGAACTTTGTGGAGCTTTCGTTTACCCAGGGCCCATTCTCCACTCTAAGGCTGAGAGATAGCTATGAAAGATAGGCATGAAAATAACAGCTCACATTCCCAGTACTGCCCCAGAGGGAGCAGAACAGACCTCACTGGCAAAGAATTGCAAGTAATTGTTTGTTCTGACCTGCCTGGTGTCTCCCTGGAAGGCCAGCTCAAAAGGCTTGTCTTTATTAACCCACCCCAAAATTGGCTTGGTACTAATGCTGCTTCCTGGGCGGTATTTGTTGAAAAC